GGCACCTGTGGCAGGCGGTGGGCAAGGAGACGGCGGTTGAAAGTGGGTGCGGCAACGGAGGGGTGTAAGAGTGAGCACTAGCGGTTTTCTCCGTCTGTGCGGTTCCACGCGTTGTGGGTACAACGCGGCGCCGCGGAATGCCACTGGGGCTGCAGCGATGAGGCGGAGGTCTGTAAGCACCACTACAGCCCCAGGTTGTCAGGGGCAGGCACCCGAGCTGAAAGATAAAAACATATGTGTAGCAATGGTTATGGTGTCTAGCGGCTTGCAAAGAGATAGGGGCAGGTTCAGTTCAGGTGAGATGCCGTATCCAAATCACTGGGCGCGAGAAAAATGTGCCCGGGTTGCGGTCTGCAGCTCAGCCGGCAAGCTCGGGTCCACCTCGAGGAGATAGTAGGTGTCGGCGAGGGTGGCGGCAATGGTAGCCAACAGGGTGTCATCTGCTGGCGTCCCGAGATGCAGGGGGCGGCTCTGCCTAATCCAGCCGTTGGGTGTCTTTTCAGACGGCAGCTCGTCGAGCGCGTGCACATCCTTGAGGGCATAGGTGTTGCCGCGCAAGACGGTCACGAGCCCACCGTCGACGATGCGGAAGGACACAGTCAGATGGTGTCCTCCATTTGGCGCGGTGCACCCCCGGAATGCGAGGTGGGCGTGTGGCAGGGGCTTGTGTTCGACGCGCCAGTGGGCGGCTTCTGGGAGGCCATGCACGTAGACGGCCAGCGTGACATCCTGCAGGTGTAGCTCTGCGAGCTTCCAGGCGCTAAGCTCTTGTAGGTGAATGAAGGCCTGCTCGAGGCCGTCACGTCCACCTCCTGCGTACAAGGCAAGCGTCCAGCTGCCGGGGCGGCCAAATGTCCAAGCAAGCTGACACTCCGTCGCCTGAGCGCCGGCAAGTGGGGGTGTGGGACTGAAGATGCACAGACAGCAAGGAACTATATATATATATATATAAAAGTCATGCTGTTTAAGCAGGGCAAGTGAAACTGAGGGCGGAACGAGGCCCTGAACTGACTGAGGCCCATTTGGGTACAAAGTGGTGAGGTAGGTCACGTAGGCTTCCACCACAGTCTTGGCCTGAAAGAACAGGCTGGGTGTGGTGCGGCTACCTTTCTGGTGGAGAAGCAGAGCATAGGCCGGGAGGTCGTCCTCGAAGTCCGTGTGGCAGAGGCCACCATTGGCGGCATATTGCTTCACCTCGATGTCAAGTGGTTCCATGCGGAGGCCGCTCGGAGGGGGTGGGAGATCAACCGGAATCAACCGGGCCATATTGATGACATGCATGCTGAAATCCTTGTAAAGTCCAGCGGTACACCTGACTTCTCCTAATGATGTGGTGCCAGAAAATGCATCACTTCTGGTACACCATCATCACTTATGGCACACCATGGATGGCCATGGTATATACATCTGTCCTCCTAAAAACAGATTCGGTACAAGAAGTATCCTTGATTCCCCGAGCATGTTCGGCCCCGACTGCACTCTCACCAGCGCCATCCTCACTGCGCGGATTACGCTGAAGGGATCGCTCACATGGCCTCCGGACGAAGTTCAGGCAACCCGCAACAAGGGATCGGTCGATGAGGTTTCAACAAGGGCGGGAAGCGTCCAAAATCACCTTCCAGACTAGAAACTGGCAGCTTTGTGAGTTCAAAGAAAGGTAAGATGGTATGGGTCAGAAATGGCTTCCGTTCCCGCGCTTCGGCTCCGAAGCCGTGGTCTGCTTGCTCTGCCTTTGCTTTCGGCACAGTCCACGTCCAACACGCGTGGGTGGAAGGAGAGACTCGCAGGGCTCTCCGTTAGATGCGTCATGGAAGAGCGAGGTTTTCGGCTGAAACGCTGGTTTGGCTGCAAGGAAAGAAAGGCGGGCTGTGGTTCCAACGTCTGGGACACACCGTTGTGGGGAAAACGCCCCCCCCACCCGGTGAGCGCTTTCGAAAGCCTAGGCGTTGAACGCGAAGCTCGGCGTGGTCGCTGTCAGAAGCGTCATGGTGTGAAACCTTTCAGCCGGTGCTGCTGGCGCAATGTGGGAAAAGTGGAAGGGTCGGGAACGATCCCAGCAAGTAACACATACATATACATACGTCACATTACATGACATGACATTACATGACATGACATGACATGATAGTACATTACATTACATTACTT